TGCCGACTGACTGGATTAAGTCAACCATCCTATGTATGTGATGTGAGATCATAGCTTCTTAATTGCTTAGTCTTATTCCTCAATACATCCACCCTTTTTCATAATTCCCATTTTTTCCATCACCTAACCAGCATTTTAACACCTTTATGATGAAAAATGATTTGTATGTTTATTCAGATCAAAAAGTATCGTGATATTTTTAAAAAGATTTAGGTGCTGGTCTTAAGTCTTAACTTCTTTCATTTACAGCTACTGACAAAGCTGTCATTTCAGACTAGTAGTAGAGCATATACCCTTTTTTTAAATCATTCATCCTACTCCTTTTAGGGAAAAGAAACGCTCTAACAAGACATGGAATTAAAAGAAAATCAATTAGAGTCAAATATATAACAATTTCACCAGAGCATACCACTGTATTTCTCTTGCCTTAGTCTTGAAGTTGCCCCAACCTCCTTTGATTGTCTTTGGCTCTCATCTACTACTGTGTTCTCAAGGTCAACCTTTTCTGTCTACAAGCAACAGATAACATATTAGAAAATCTTCAAAGTGATTAACATGAATAGTATATGCTACTGGTCTTTTTCATCTACTATTGGCATGCATCATATGATATTATACCTACCATGTCATATTACAATTGCTACAAAAGACTTAGTGGGTAATTCCATTATTAAAACATGGATGACATTTATTGCTTAAGCTTGTATATTACAAGCTAAAAACACACTGGTAAATATAACTTGCATAAACTAGTCATATAGCTTGGTTCATAACATTTTTGTGGGCTTAAATGAAACTGAAATGGACTGATGATATAGTCACCAACTAGTGATACTGATAATCTAAGGACAATGAGTACTACCATCAACTCACTCATTTTAATGCATTTCTTCCAAGTATTTTTCGTTCATGTCACTCGAAGGTACACCAAAAGGTTTCCCCTCATACAACCCCTGCATCTGTACAAATCTAAATGAAATATACAAGCTAATAAGATTAACAAATGATAACCTACCCCTGCTGTAAATAAGTTATGCATGGAACTAGTGACAACTTTAATAAGTAAATACATGGCTTAATCTAGTAAGGTAAATCTGGGTGTTTCTCTCAGTTTTTCAAAACATGATTCATCCAAAGAGAATCTTAATGGGAAAAAAAAAGAAACAGGGCCTATGAGATATTACATGTACCTCTAACATACGCAGTGTGTCCATGAGAAGCAAGTGCTTCTGCTTAAGAAGCACCAACTGATCTTGCATGGCAGAAAATTCAGTCCTCATAATAAGTTCGGTGTCCTGGATGGCTGTCTCACTTACACCTTCTTGTAATAAGCGTTGCCTCAACTTTTCTGTTGACACAGTAAAGCCGCCAACAGGAGCCATCAATTCACTGTTAGATAGTCGAGGGAACATGCCCTTCACAGCCTGGAAAGCTTCCATCCATGCAATTCGATCATCCCTCGTGTCTGCCCTCAAATGCAGCCTTTTTGTCCCCGTGAATATGGAAAATCTTTTGTCATCTGATCTACTTTCACGAATAGATGAAACCTATCACACCAAACAATGTATCAAAATATATATATATATATATATATATATATATGCAAAACCCATCTAAATAAAATGGAATAATAACCACATAGCACAGACTTGATGCGCAAGAGAAACACTCTTATTCATATGGAAAAAATTCACTTGCAGGTATACACATACTCATGCATAGTAAAAAGATGATTCCACCCAACTGAGTTCTCACAACACAGCATAAAAACATCAATGAATACCGAATCCAAACACAAAGATAGAGAGGGATTCACATAAAACAAAGAAATTAATCCCAAGCCGAGCAAAAGTTTAGAAAGTCAGACAGACAGACATCCGAACAAGCAGATTGATCTCTCTTAGACGATTTTACATAAAATCTACAGAATATCCTCCCAGAACTCCAAGCACAACCTAAACTCAGACATCAGTTGTCAAATTAAACTTTTCAAACCGCTAGATGTTATGACAAATCGCAGACAGACTCGTGATGATTGATCATCATTGAAACTGAATGAAAATTGTTAAAAGAGTAAGTGACTTGACCTTGAGATGGACTTCACCAACGGGCTTTCGGCGAGGATGATGAGAATTATTACTAGTAGCGCCGGAATTTCCGTGACGAGAGAATCGGCGGAAAGACTCGTCGCCGATGACCCTTGACCCGTTCTCAGTCTCTTTACTAACAACAATCTTATCAGGCCCATGAATCTTATAGTAGGAAAGCACGCCATCTTGTAACACAAACCATCGAGGCCGCCATCCTTTACCATAATTAACCCATTTGTGCAAAATCCCTGATATCCCACTACCTACTATATCATTGATCTTCACATCTCTCTGATCTCCACTTGTCAACCTCATCGCGGGCGGTTGCCGTTCAGCATCCGACGCCGTATTGAAAGTAACATGGTGGTTATGGTTGTGGTTGTGGTTGTTAACGTTATGAACGGGACTTATGTGCTTGGAAAAATCCGATACCGGGGCGGCAGCAGAGGAGGGAGTAGCAGGCATCGAATTATTATGATCGGCGGGAACACAGCAAAAAGGATGCATATATATGTAAAAAAAACAATAATTACGAATTAAGAAAAAGATGATAAAAGAGGGAGAAAATTAGATATGGCGGTGGTCATAACCACGGTTCGGCGGCCGGAGAGAACGAGTAATCCATCAGAATCGTGTAATGATTCAATGGTGGTCCTGCGATGGGGGAAAGTTGCGTTAATTTAGGGGAAACAGAAAGGTTATGGTTGGGGCGTGAATTACGGGCGGAAGAAGAAGAGGAAGAAGTCGCCGGAGGGATTGGAAAGGAATATACCCGGTGGTGTCATTTGGTAGCGACCAACCACTCAAAAAGACGCAACCAGCACTTTTTTGGACCGACTCACATGCTTTTATTCATTTCTACGGTAAAATTTAACCATATATCCCTTGCCTTACCATTTTCTTTGCCTTTGCTTTTGCCTTTAGGGTTAGGGTTAGGGTTAGCGTTAGTGTTAGAGTTAGGACCATTATTTTAGATGTTAATCATAAGAAATTATAATATATTTTTATTTTCTATGCACAAATTATTTTAGATGTTAATTATGATATGATATTTAATAAATTTATAATTTTGTAATATATAACAAAAAAGTCATATATAACCGGTTAATTGTCAAATACTTTTACGATGTTAAATAGTTTTTCCTGACATAATAAATGTATTTCTCGAAGGAATTGTGAACTTCTCTTGCACGGTGAAATGCCTTCGACATTGTGAGATACCTTCAAATTTATGAATTTTTGCCGAATGAATCTATGTAAATATTTTATCATTTATTGTAATTATGTTTGGAATTAGGAAATGTTTTTTTTTTCGGAATAGTAAATTCTTTTAGTAAACTACATGAATGGTCCCTATGATTCGGGTAATTTTGTTCTCTAATTTTTTTAACATGAACCACCTTTGGTTTTGTTTCTAGTTTAGTCTCTAACATATCTAAAATATCATTTATACCCTTTCTTATTTTTTTAGACAAAATTACATAAATGGTCCTTATGGTTGACAGAAAATACCACCACAAATCCTTTTGAAGAATTTTGAACATGTATGGTTATTGAGAACTAAAAACCTTACACGGATGGTCTTTATGACTAACCCCGTTAGAAATAAAGGTTAAGTTTTTGTGAAATGACTAATATATCATTCATAATTTTTTTTCTTACTTATTTAATAAAAAGAAAAACATAAATGGACATCTCTCTCTATATATACAAAAATACACACATACACACTTGCACTTTCTCTAAAGAACACATACCTACATAATTTATCTCTTTCAAGCACCGGTTGTTTTCAGGTATTAATTCTTTGGCATAAGTTTATTTTAAATCTTCATTTTTGAGGTTTTGGCTGACCGCGACACGATGGTGGAGATTCATTGCAGTGCGGCCACATCATTTAAGTGGTGGTGAGGTCAAGTGTTGGTCGTGGTCCAGTGGCGGGTGGGCTCAAAACCCTAAACCTTGGGCCTTTTGCCCTATTTAAGCAATAAGATGGCCATGGTTTCGTTTCATCCTTAGCATCCACTATCCAGAAGAGAAACCCTCGCTTAATGTGTGTATGTGTGTATGTATGTGTGTTCTTGGTGTCTAGAGTCGTAACACCCGCAAATTTGAGCTAGACAATAAAGTTATTATAAACCATAATAATGAATTTTAAAGAGGGTTTATTTAGGATAAATAATTTAACCAAATTATAGTATATGTGACGTGGATTTCGTACATACAAAGAACGCTCAAATCCGAATTCGAGTGAAGAAGTTACAACCTTTCGAAGTTTCGCGTTCAAACAATATGTCGTAAATAGTGAGTTGGAGATAGGTTGCTTATTATCCTTAGTAATCTAAACAAAAGTCGTAGATATCATCAAAGTGAATTTGTGCATATAGATATCGTCTAAATCTGATTTCGTAAGAGGAAGTTAGGATTTTTTTTTAAGTTTCAGCGTAGCAGTATGTCACACCCCCAAACCAGAACGGCGGAAACGTCTGGGGGCGGATGACTTCATGTACAGTATCATAACAATTGAATAATAGCAATCAAAGCATCACAACCATTGCATTGAATATTTAATAAGTTTACATTGTACTCAAAAACATTGTTTACATGATATCAAATGCATATGACTAAAATGATTAACGAGATGCGACGACGTCTCATCCACCAAAAACTCTTGTGGTTACCTTGGTTTCCTGAGAATACAAGTGATTTTGAAAAGTGTCAGCAATTAAGTTGGTGAGTTCATAAGCGTTTTTGTATGAGAAGGTTTTGTAGTTGTTTCGTGTAAAATGGTATATTTTCTTTAAAATGAACTGTAAGTCTTAATCCAAAGACTAAAAATGTAAGTAATACTGTACTAAAAAGTCGTGTTAGGAAGTTTATAAAACTACTTAAATGTATGTTAATCTCGTTGTAAGTCTTAACCCAAGACTAAAATGAAAGTAATGCGGTGCTGGAAATAGTTTTAGTAAGATTTATCTTTTTGTGAAGACTATTTCAAGTGTACGCTAACCCATAAACCAAATGTTTTGTCAATACTCTATGTGAGTTATTATAACCATACTAATACGACTAGTTGGCCTGAACGACGTTTTTCAGGCGTCAGCACTGTTACGACATTTGTCACCCTAGACTGGCCGGTCTAACTGTAGCTAACAGCTGAGGTGTGGGGTTGTTAATCCTGTATAGATGATATACACAAATGTCACGCTCTCCCTCCAATAGACTCTGGTTATAATGCAAGACTTAATGTGTACTCTGGTAGGTACGGTGAAGCTGAATGTCTCACAACTAGTATCAACCGGTTTACGTCTATTATACTGAAAAATCGTTTTCTTGTAAATGAAATAATTATACCTTTAAATAATTATATATTTCTTCTGTAATGATCTACTAGTATCAACCAGGGTGTTTTCTCAAAAACCGGGCTCCACGCGAGTAGAGTTTCGACTCGACAAACTCTTATTGTGTATAATTTAACAAGTAATTGGTACAAGCATATAAGTCGAAATTTATCTGTTCCTTTTATCCTAAGAGGATTAAAAGCGATATCTTGGGCCCCTCGATGATTTTGTTTTGACTTATGTGTCGGGCCCGGTCATGACTCAATTGATGTGTTCAATTAAGTTCAATGTCAAACAAATCAGAAATCGGGAAACAAACTGTTGGACAATAAGTATGACTATGTTCCATGTCTTTGTCCACACGATATCTTAAAGAACAGAGGATTATATGATCCCTTATCTAAAGGATGCGTCATTGACTAGGTCAGAGTTTGACATCAGCTTTTGAGAGCTATGATTGCTAATCGGATTTTGAAGTTGCATTGGCAGTTATAGTTATTAGACTTATCTAAGTGGGAGACTTTTGGATTAGCTGTCTAAGCCCATAATTATAATTGGTATGTACTTGACCCGATTGTAGCATGGTCCTTTTGGGTTGCCTTCACCGGAGCAATTTGATAGGATGAATATTTGAGAAAAAGGTTATTTGTGATTTATTAATATATTATAAGAATAATATATTAATTGAGAAACCATATTATTTAATTAGTATTGATCAATAATTAATTTGGAATTAATTTAGTGATCAAAAGAGACTGATTAAATTTACGGGGACTGATTAGGTAAATCAGTAATACTTGTAGTTTGGGCTAATGATCCATGTTGATTAGGGATGGAATAAATCTATATGAGAGTCCATAAAGGTGTAGTCCAAAGGGCCTATGAAATAGGAAGAGTCATGGTGAATTAGGGTTTACATGGAAGAAAACCTAGGAATTCCACACTATAAATGTAACCCCTAACCCCCTTAAATCGGCCAACACTTCCTATAAGCAAACCTTAGCCGATTTTTGGTGATTCCTAACCTCTCTATAAGCCTCCATTTGCTTTTGGTGTTTGTAACACATTAGAGGTATCACACTTGAGGTACTAAGCTCTTGAAAGGCCAAGAACTACAAGCTACACTAAGAGGTATTCATCTAACTAGTTTTTATGTTGTATATCTTCATTGCATGATAGCTAGGGTGTATGCTTTGAATAAAATGAAATTGCATGTATAACTTGAGAAAACTTAGATCCAACGTATGTGCACCATATTATTGTTATAGTGCTCAAAACCCATCAGAACCTCTGTAAGTTAAGCTACACTCTAGTCTTTTTTGTGTAACTTATATATATAGTCATAAGTCGTCATTATGAACCTATAAATAAGATTTATTAGTAGTTTCATGTTGTTATACTGATTTATCTACTTACGGGAGAGGTATCTAGAATGGTCATGTTGGCTTGGTTGTTGGATTTCAGAAAAGCTATTATGCCGAAATGATCATGCCTCCCAACTGTCATGCCTAGCTGATCCCTATTTAGACTATTAGTGTTCATTGGAATGATTGATAGGTCTAGACTATCTATAGCCATGTAGAACGTTAGACTAAAACTTAGTGATAATGATATTAGGTCATGTCAAATGAAAGGTCGATTTCTAGAAGCAAATCTCTGCCCAAGTTTTGATTCGTCACTTTAGCAAGTGAGTGCATGGTCTGTTTCGTCTTACGCATAGATATGAAGTATCTAGATAATTACATGCTTATGTGCTTATTATATGTGCCGAAGGTGATATGTGTTAGATAAAATAATATCAGATGATATTTAATTAATTTAATTATATAAGTATGTTAGGTGTGTCAAACCCAACAAATAAAGGGGTACGATATACTCCAAAAGAACACTACTATATTGCACTAAAAGTTAGCACAAGGCAAGTAGGGTCGATCCACAGAGACACGGGACAATCGGTCTATACCTCTTTGCGCAAGGTACTTTGGTCACCAACAGTAAAGAGGGGGTTTTAAATGCAATGATTAGAACAACTAATTAAAAACAACAATAAGCGACTAAATAAGTGAATTAAATTCAGAAATTGTAAAGACTCCAACTCTATGTATGACAACTTAGCAATGTGATTCCAAAATGACATGTCACTTGCTCAATTCTATCCAAGCTGGTACTTGAAAGTGTTAACAAGCTCTAACACTTCCCATTCACCACATTAATTAACCAAAACAAGCTCTTTGATTAACCCTAACCTTACTAACCTAATCTAAACAAGCTCTTAGAATTAGATTACAAGATTGCATTAAGCTTTATGTGAATGTTCCCAACAACACCTAATACTCCTCACAAGCTCGGGAGTGTAAAAGTGTGTGAAAATATTTACACTAAATTCATTCAATGGAAATCAATTTAATGCTTGTTACTTAGTCCAATTCACAAAATAATTACGGATTTTGCAAAATGAATAACTTGAATGACCTAACCCTAATTCAAATGGCCAATAAGAATCACAATTAGAATCAAACATTCAGTTGAAGCAAAATCAATTTC